CCCCCAAATATGTCTGTTTGGCATAAGGATTATTTTTGTCTGGTTATTTTTAACAAATAGACCTGGGAGATGCTCTGAAAACCAAGTAGATGTTACCTTTGTGAAAGACATTTATGTTTATAAGGAAAATCTCCACACGTAAGGGTGTCTCACTCACTGTACTGGGAAGAAAAGGGTGACTCTATCACTGGAGACAGCAGGGACTTAAATCTACATAACCACCTTCCTCTTGTTTATTGCACTTTCCCTGAAAACCTCCCATAACTGACTCTCCTACCTCACATCATCATTTGTCTTTAGCTGAGAACAGTATTTCAGGTGGTGGCTTTGACCATTTTGGCGAATTACTCAGTGTTCTTGTGTCTCTCTCGTCTATACAGGAGGTACACGTGCTATTAACTTTAATTTATTTTTCTTTTGCTAATCTGTCTCATGTCAACTTGGTTATTAGACCAGCCAGAACAAATTAGAAGGGCAGAAGGAAATTCACCCCCAGCACACACACACACACACATGCAGTTCTTTGCCAGAAGAATGTTTCTGGTTTTTCCACTTTGCCCATGCAGATTGGAATGCCAGGTAATGACTACTTGCCACCTAGTACCTCATAACATCCTTCAAACAATGACTAGTGGGAATTTGTAGATAAATACCACCGCCCCCTCAGATTTTTATCACTCTGTGTGAGACCAGTCTCCAGTTGACCACAGTATTAAATTTCTTAGCTGATTTTGTTTCTCTCTCTGTCTCATCTTCCCATGACCCTTCAAGTGCTACCTGTGGTCACCTTCCAAAAACTACTCAGATCCTTGTTGTAGGGTCTACCTGGGGTAGGAAGAAATGGAATTAAGACAGTAACAAAAGTAAATCTTTGGAATATGATAATGGAATTGGATCACTCACTGGTTAAATGCCAATTGAACCCCACTGTTGGTGGCGAATAAGGTATAATAGTCCCTGGGATGCTGTAGCATCACTAAGGCCTTCTCTCACCTGTGGTGAACTGAGATGACATACAGGTGGCAAGTGATGCCTAGGCTTATACAATACCACTGGCACTTGAGAGATATGGGGTGCAATATTATAAGGATTGTGGGGTTGGTTGGTTGGTGTTAATTGCCATTAAGGTGTGGAAGGAAGAAAAGAACAACGTTAGGTCATCCAATTCTCAAATCACTGTATAGTAAAAAAGCGGAAAAGTATTTAAAAAGACCTTCACCTCCTGTAAATCCACTCTGTGCCGTCTCTTTCATCTTAGCACTGGAAAAGCAATAAAAGAAATCCCAAGGAAGAGCCACACTAAAACATAAAAGTTGTGCATGTGTCAGCATAATTTGAAAGAAAAAATAACGTCGATAAATATGGCTGGGGTAATGCTCTAACTCTATAAAATCCATTTCGAAGATACAAAATAATTATTTTCTCTCCCAGTATAGACTCAGCTTTGCACACATGAAAATCTTGTTATTTTCTCTTCATAATTGTCCACTCCTGGGTAACTCAGAACCTAGAAACGAAGTTCAGTTTCCCCTGATTTATAGATAACACTTCGTATCTAAAAAATGTTGAAGTTTAAACAATGTCCCTTCTAAGAAATATTTCTGAGTCACAGTGAGAACACAATTCTTGTAAAGTGACATGTAATTTGGCCACAGAGCCTCTTTATGGCAAAAATTCTACATGCTTACTAAATTTCAGTGTGGTGAAAACTGACGGTCTGACAAGTTGCACTAGGTAACTGAGGACCCTGCCTCTCTTTAAAATTTATAACAGCATTTCAATCAGCAAGAGTTAATATTGGAATCACTTATACTCTTTCTTGTAGGAATTACAGCTAGTTTCAAAATAGGTTTTCTAAAAAAACATGCTCCCCTTAAGATAAGCACCAATTTATTATAGTAACCAAGTGCTTATTAACTGTGTTAATTTAATTTTTTAAAATCTGTGTCAGTCTATAGTTTAAATAGAATTAAATTGCTCTGTCGATTTCTTCATGAATGCTCCAGGCATTTTTTGATTACCTCCTATACACAAGGCCTGGTGATGGTGCGAGGAGTTTATAATGGAGTGTAAGAGACAAAATATGCACAAGGCTCTGGGCATGCAGGTGCTCAGGCTGCCTGGGGAAGGGGAAGCCTGGAGAGGACAGCGGTCACCCAGCTGGTATGACATGATCTGCAGGAATACTGACTATGGCAACAGGGTGGCTGGGCTATTGCGGAGTCTTCACTATTCTCTTGTTCCTGCTGACATACCCTGTGTAGCGCTTGCTGCCATGATATGAGTCTTCTATCAGCAATTAAAGTTACCTGGTGGTGTTTCCTTTCCCCTATATTGTCATATTGAGACACATTTAGAGCTTAATATTTAGGTTACATTTTTTCAAACATAAAAGTGCCGCTTTGAAATGTAAAACTTAACTGATTGGTAAAATGCAAGAAAATGTTCGAAGCTTAACAAAACAAAAAGTCAACAAGTGTTCAAATTGAAAAGCAAAATATAGATTCAAAGAAAAAAATTGTAAGTTTCTGAAAACTTTCCTAGGAGTTTGAAACCTAGGTCATCAGATGGGGCCTAAAAATACCGAACTTTGTATGTGAAATAGAAATTTTTCCTGTAAGTGGAAGGAACATCTGGGTAGACTCCGATGAAAACAGAATGCCACAATCAGCTTATAATACAAGCCAATTCAAATGGAAGGAGATGATTCTCAAAAAAGAAAACCCATTTTGAGAATAAAGGAACATACTCAAAACCTAAAATTTATTCTTAATGATGCTTCATTTTTCATTTGTTTTATAGCAGCCTTTTACTGAAGGGGCAAAGGCAGACAGACTATTCCTTAGTCCCTTAATGTTAGCTGTCCCCTTAACTACGACTCTGGGACTAGAATGCACAAACAGGGCAATTAATCAGAAGGAACAAAGAACTTTTTTAAAACTACAAGGCAGAGGGGGGAAGGAAAGTGTGGTGAAAAATTCCCTTTACAAGCATCCTTAAAAATTGATTAAAAGTATCCATTTGCTGAGCCCAGCTATGTATTTTTCAAGACAGAGACATTTATTCATGGTTTTCCCTGTCTAAAGTAAAATTTGATAAACTACAGGTTGAAGTAGGCAAATACAAAAATGATAAAAAAGAGATTTCAATACTTTTCTAAATTATTAGATTAAGCAGATGAAAAATTTGCAAGATAAAGGGTTAAACACAGCCCAGCCAGCAGGGCTCAGGGGTTGAGCATAGACCTATGATCAGGGGACTGAGGTTCGATTCCTGGTTGGGGCACATGCCGGGGTTTCGGGCTTGGTCCCCCGGGTGGGGGGGGGGTGCAGGAAGCAGCGGATCGATGACTCTCATCATTGATATTTCTCTCTCTCTCTCTCTCTCTCTCTCTCTCTCTCTCACTCCCTTCCTCTCTCTGAAATCAAGGAAGGCTTATTAAAAAAAAATAAAAAAATACACAACCTGAATGTTTAATTTAACAGAAATTAATATACTCTGTAATCTTTATCAAAACTTTATTAAAGGCAAAGATATTGGTTACCTACTACTGACTAACAAATTACTCTGAAATATAGTGTCTCAAAATAACACCCATTTGTTATGTCACATTGCTCCGGGTCAGATATTCAGGTATGTTCCAAACTGCCTCTGGCTCTGGGTCCTGGAGGTTACTGTCAGAATGACGCCTGGGCTTTGGTCATCTCAGGGCCTGATCTGTGGACGCCTGCTCTCTAATCACTCTCGTTGACAAGATTCAGTTCCTCCTGGGCTGCTGGGCCGAGGGCCTCAGTTCTTCTGGCTGTTGGTGGGAGGCCTCCCTCAGCTCTTTGTATAGAGAGAACTTTTCATTCGTAAGCTGGGGGCATGGCAACTGGCTTTCTTCAGAGCAAGAGTAGAGAGCAAAGGAGAGTAGAGGGGGGAGAGAGAGGGGC